GGCGGAGGATTTGGTAATTGATTAGTTCCTTTAATATTAGGTGCCCCTGATATAGCTTTCCCCCGAATAAATAATATAAGTTTTTGACTTTTAGCCCTTATTAATTTCAAGAAGAATCGTAGAAAATGGAGCAGGAACAGGATAAACAATTTACCCCCCACTTTCTTCTAATATTGCTGTGTGGAGTTATTATTATTATTGTCGAGTCATGCTTTGACACAAACATACTGGGTCGGCCAGGGTGATACCACGGCCTCAGACACAACCGCAGTTGAGCAATTCTTTCGTAGCATTTCATCGAGTGAGTTACCTCACTCAGTTCAGTCACCAGAGCTCAAAGACTCAAAGGGCAACAATGCACTCGGACTCTTAAATATTAATAGGCGTTAATAGTCACTTCGTGTCCGTGTGGTGACGGATTAAGAATACAGAGAGTCACCACCCCTATTCATCCCGTGGGTGTCGTAAGAGGTGACTAAGGGAGAAAACTACGCAGGACAACAACACTGCAGAGAGAAGGAAAACTTGAAACAAACCCTATACCAACCCGTCTGGCCAGCGTTGTATAGTAGGCCAAAACCTCCTTTCTTAGGGGAGGCCTATGTCCAGCAGTGGACTATTAAAGGCTGTTGATGATGATGATGATAGTAGTCACTTACAGTCAGAGGCCCAAGTGCAAGTTTACTTCACATCAACTCAATCATCACGGGGACCGCGTTCGGCGTGTAATTGGTTGAACTGGAATCTAAATGGAATGGAAATGGAATCTATCGCAACGTCAAACGCGCTCGCTCGACCAGAGCCGTCTCCTCGTTTACCCCCTACACATAAATAAAAACAAACGATATAAATTTTTACACGCTTTATATTAGCTTCACTTGTATGTTTGTATGTTTGTTTGTAACCGACTCCTTTGAGCGTGATTTTGACTGACTTTAAATGCAGAATTCGTTCAAACTTTGTAGATATATCGAGGACCGATGACAATACACTAATTTAAAAAAAAAAAACTTTTAAAGAACTAAAAACCACACTTTTATAGAACACCAAACTAAAAAATGGAAAAAAAATATATTTAAACCTATAAACTATTAAAACTATAATCGCCGATATTAAGGCCGTAGCCGCGTATTAGAGAATGAACGAATTTGTAAATATATTAAGAGTTATTAATGATTGCTACGAAAAGGTCATCAGGTTTCAATGTCAATGTCAATTTTATTCCAGGTCATAATTTTATATTCATGAAGGTCAGTTCAAAATTGTTTCGGAGTTCAAATTGTCGACGTGCACTGCCGTCTGCTCGAGACTTGGGTTATTGACACCGAATCAACCTTTCACTGCTTGTGTTGGCTTGACGATAGGGTTGCCACCTTTTCTTAATATATGAACCATTCTTATATTATTATCGCAAAAAAAATGCATAAAATTTTGGTTTGAGTAAAGAAGAAAACACATGCTTCCTACTGCGCTGAGTTTTGTGGGGACAACACTTTGTGTGGTATATTTAATAGTGCTATTGTATCTATCTGTGAATTGCAAAAGAGTGGCCATGAGTTTGTTTGCCCTTTCTTCTCATAAGGCTCAACCCCTTGGAAACGGGCGGTTGTAGATCGGCACAGGCATATAATAGATTTTGTATGGGTTTGAATTTTGTTAAATTTATTTGCTTACTATTTGACAAAACAGAGATTGTTGCTTTTGTGTGTGTTGATCTATGACTTTAGAGTCTACATAAAAGACGATTTCAAACAATTTTATGAAATAAAGAGAGTTTGAGTTTGATCCACAAATTCTTGTTCAGAGTCTGGGTTTTTGTCCGTTTCATGTATGTTTGTAAAGTCCCCCGCGACACAGGATTTATTCCTAGTGCAAGAGTTGTCTTGTAAAAAAAGGATGTTATGAAAGCAAAAGTTTGTTTCAATGGATGTGTACACATTTGCAACTCAATTACTACGTAACGGCTAAATAGATTCCGGTCAGTTGACTCCCTCGTTCAAAAACTAAAAAAGAATTGCCTTAAACCGATTATTTTGTAAACGATGAATAAAAAAAAGGTTAAAGTCTATTCGCGTGAAGAAAATATTAACGCATCGATCAAGTTTAGTACCCTGATAAAACAGGTTCCAAGTTTCGTACCAAACAATTATTTCTTTGAACCTGGGCCTCAATTCTGCTATTTTATGTTCACGCCAAGCGAGTATCATACCACTGACAAGCTATTGAGATGCCATCGAGTGGCCATTGGCATCGGAATAAATATCGGTAGTCTACACTAACTCAGTGTCTTTACAGTGGTGATGGAATGGCAGTGGCTCATCAGTGGTGATCTCAAAAAGATTGCCATATTTGGAAAAATAATTAAAAAATTGAGGCCCTGATTGGCAGGGGTAGGGTGTCGAATGTTTTGGGCTCCATGAACCTTTTTTTTTTTTCCCGTGCGGAAATCCCCTCGGATACCACCTGGATACCACCTGTCGGTGGTATGTCGGACTCGAACCGACTAAAACCGCACGCCTTCGCCGGGTACTAATAGCCGGGGAACCAGGTATACCCTAGAAAGGAAGTCCCTGGTGCCCCGACATACCTCGGGTCATCTACAGACGAGTAGACGACCCCCGCCCCGTGTGGGAACCCCATGTTCCCTGTGCTCCCTGGAAGCGAGCGCGCTTCGCAACGCGCTCGCCGCCACCCCGGCCTGCTTCTGCTAGGGTGACAGATGGCCTCACCTGTCACCCCCAGGCCTGCGTTTATGGAGGACGGAGGTCGTTCTGCGACTTCCGGCGCCTGAGTCGCCTGCGCTGCCTGGCCCGTGCCCGGGCCTGGCGGGCCGGGAGAGTTCTAAACCTCTCCCGGTCCCGCTCCGCCGTCTCCTTCGCGAGCATAACTTGCTCGCAGAAGGAGACGGCAGAGTTCCACGCACTCTCGCTCCGCACGACAGCCGCAATCAGGCTATCGAGCGAGAGAACTCCCACTCCGATGGCCGCCACGAGGTCTCGCCTCAGCTCAATCCTCGCCGGGCACTCTGCCAGCGTGTGGAGAGCCGTGACCACGGTCTGGCCATCGCAGTGGTGGCACTCAGGCGTTGGCTCCTTGCGGATCAGACACAGGTGATCTCCGAAACATCCCTTCCCAGTGATCACCTGCGTCAATCGGTATGAGAGGGTCCCGTGACGCCTCTCGAGCCAATCCTCCATAACGGGTACATTACCGCCGCAATGACGGCGTGCCCGGCGCTCGGTTGCCCGAGTCGTTCCCTCCACTCCCCTATGATGACCTGGCGGAGTTGGGATTTCCGGTCATCGATTTCTCGAATCTCGGGGCATCGACCCAACTCCTGCGCCTCCTTCCGCCACTGATACAGAGCCGCAAGGGCTCTCGCCTCCAGGTCCCAAGGTGGAGTTCCGGCCAGGAGACTCGCCGCTTCAAAGGAGATCGTGCGGTACCCCCTTATGATCCTGATGGCCAGCATTCGCTGCGGTCGTCGCAGTATCGCGACGTTGCTGGCCTTCAGGGCCCCCGCCCATACTGGGCATCCGTAAAGGGCCATGGACCGCACAACCCCCGAGTAGAGTCTCCGGCAGGAGTCATCGGGTCCCTTCATGTTGGGCAGCAGCCGCGCCAACGCACGCGCTGCCCCAACCAACTTGGGGACCAGACCTCGGAAATGATATCCGAAGTCCCATCGGCCATCGAGTACGAGCCCCAGATACCTGATCGAGGGCTCGATGCCGATGCGAGTGCCTCCTACCGTGAGGCTAGATCCCTCAGGCGGCTTCCTCCGAAGCCCGTGGAAGAACAGGGCCTCGGACTTGTGCAGAGCCACCTCGAGACCCAGCCGCCGGATACGCTCAACGACTTGGGCAACCCCGGCCGAGGCCCTCAGGGTTGTCTCGTGGTGCGTCTTGCCGCGCGCCGTCACGAGTGTGTCGTCCGCGTAGCACACGACGGCGACACCATCCAAGAAGGTACCACGAAGCACCCAGTCGTAGCCGATGTTCCACAAGAGTGGCCCTAACACCGACCCCTGCGGAACACCGCACGACATTTCACGCCTACCGAGACCGGTCCTACTGGGGTAGACGACGGCTCTCTCCGACAAATATGTCCCGACTATGCGGCGGAGGTAGAGAGGCACTTCGTGATACACGAGCGCCTCCCTGATGCAGCTCCAGGGCATAGTGTTGAACGCGTTGGGGGCTCCATGAACCTCACTCACTCGGTGAAAAGCAACTAAGAAATTGCTCAACACTGGTTTTGTGTGATGCCGTGGTATCACTCCCACGGTAATAGACGGTTGTAGATTAAGTAAATACAAGACTTACCAAAATTAATTTTAACAGTAGTATTCAGACTTCATACTTACAGTTTATAGACAAGCTATTGTCCGCGACTTCGCCGTGATTATTTCTGCATTCATGTTTCTGAATTTGAAAATGAAAAACTTCCATACAACTGTTATTTCCTTAGTTTACTTCCTTTTGGATGAAACGTCCAAAAATCCTTTCTAAATGGGTGTTTATAACATAAAAAGCAAAAGCTGCCAAAATGACAAGTTTGTAGCGAGAGTGGTTTAGTCAGTTAGTCAGGGCAAGTAATTTCATACTCGTATGAATAGATATATCCGTGTGGTGACGGACTAAGAATACAGAGTGTCACCACCCCTATTCATCCCGTGGGTGTCGTAAGAACCGACTAAGGCAAGCTTTGCAGGACAACAGCACTGCAAAAAGAAGGAAAGCTTGAAACAAACCCTATACCAACCCGTCTGGCCAACGTGGTATAGTAGGCCAAAACTTAGGAGAGGCTTATATCCAGCAGTGGACTATTAGAGGCTGTTGATGTGTGTGATGTGATGAATAGATAAATAACAGCGAGAAACTGACCAAATGATCCTATTCATCACATAATTATATAGTAAATGTCGAGGAGTTAGACCAACAAAAGACTAGTCAATAATTAATTTCAAAGTCAAATTAAACAATAATTTTCCATTCCAGCTCTTCGAAAAAGTCAGGACAATGAGAGGTGGTGTAGAACCTCTCTTGGAGAAGGTGACCATCGTGGCTGGAGACGTAGCAGAGCCTGACCTGGCCATGAGCCCCGCTGACAGACAAATGGTTGCTGAAAAAATCCATATTATTATCCACGCCGCTGCCACCATCAGGTAAAAATGCTATGCTTTTTTTATGCTATAGGCGACAAAGAAGCAGACGAGTCCGTATACACCTACAATTTAAAAGTCACAAGTGCGATGCCGCCCTCTTTTTATCCCCCCTCTCCCTCTGTGGGAGTAAATCATGGTATTCTACTGGAAATAGGCCTCTCTTTAGAAAGGTTTTGGTCTACTATACCCACGCTGGCCGTGCGGCATAGATAGAGTTATCTTGGTATAGAGTTTATGTCAAGTTTTCCTTCTCTTTGCAGTGCTGTTGCCCTGCGTACATTGCTTCCTTAATCAGCTTATGCAGCCCTACGGGATCATTAGGGGTGGTACTCCGTATTCTTAATCCGCCACCACACGTGTTATACACGGACCATTAGTTACTTTAAATGAAATTTACCAATAGATAGTAAAATAAAAGTGCCTCTCGGTTGAAGAGATTTTTTAACTACTTTCAAAGGTTTATTATTATTTCTCTTACATCCAAATTGAATTAAACAACTATTAAACATTTCCCTCCTTAATTTACATTTTAGGTTCGACGAAGAGCTCAAGAAAGCGGTTCTGCTGAACGTAAGAGGCACCAAGCTCATGGTAGAACTAGGCAAAGAGTGCAAACAATTAAAGGTAATATATATATTAAAGGTATATACCATTAGGTAACTTGGGCATTGTCGCTTTGATATGAATATAGAAAGAAAGAAAAACATTTATTGTGGTGAACACAAAGGTTACAATCTAGATATTATAAACATGTTAAGTTGGTTTGTGTAAGGTTCAAAATTTCAAACAGTTCTGCACCGATAAAGCTTAAATTTTACCACGATATAGGTATTTCGTGTCAAAAATTTGAGAAACCCGGCTTTTAAGACTATTTATACCCATTTTTTGCGTTAGTTTTGTTTTTCATTTCTCAGCGTTGCAACCAAAACGTAATGTTAAAATAGAAGTAATGAATAAATAGGTTTAAAGAACTTTATTAATACTCATGAACGTTACAGTACACTTAGTGAGCATAATATAAAAATAAACAAAGTAATAACAAGGAACAGCGATCGTAGGTTTCTAAATCAATGACTCAAAAATTTTAAGAAAACAGATTGCATTGTACTCACATGAAATTATATTTTGTACATATTATGTTTATAAACAGACAGTCCGTAATGGTTATTCACTACAGTTAGCATTAGATTGCACCATATAAATTAACAAAAACATACTTCAGCGCCATCTAACGAATTGCATTGTATTGCAATTTAAAAAGTTTTAAGTTCCGCCGCAGCCTGCCAGGCGTGGTCATCACATAACCTGTTCCTCCATAACCTCATTAGTATAGAAATAGACGGGAAATGATAAAAGTACGTAGACTTCTTTGTGTCATGAACCATTAACTTGAAGAAGATGATAGGTTGATAGCAGTTGTTTGGTTGACAACATTGTCTATTGATACTCACTGATCTCTATGAGATGTCTGATCGGTACAAACTTGATACTTAGAATAATACTATCTGGTAATTACCAGATAGTATTATTCTAAGTAAGAAACAAACTTTGTTACATCATCACGCCTTCACCATTTAATTAATCATCATCTTTTTTGTACACTATCCATAAAAATAACTTAAACCTGAACGAGGCAGCAAAGGTTAATTAGTTATATATCCTTTGTTTCAGCTGTTCATCCACATATCGACGTCGTACTGCCACCTTCAAGAGAAGCTTTTAGAAGAGAAGGCATACCCCCCACCGGCAGATCCCCACCATATCATTCAGGCTATGGAATGGATGGATACAGAAACCATTAAAACTGTTACTCCTAAGTAACTTTCATTTTTATTTTATGCCTAGAAATCCAGAACCAAATCAAATACAAAACCATAGAGATAAATATGTCTATATAGACTGTCGAATGTCAAAAACCCTCGATGAGTTCATCTTGTTTAGTTCAGGAGTCCCAATGCCGTCTTCCGGCTCCGTTATCAGAACAGCTCCATGGTACCATATTATTGTATCGTCACTGAAGACAATACACATACAAGTGGTTCTTATTTAAGTTCCCAGATTCGTGCTAAACATTATAAATGCTCATAGCAAACAGTCCACACGCCTGCCTTTATATTTCGACAAGTACTGGCATTAAGTCCGCCAACGCAACAAATAATAATAATATTCTACCACATTCACACAACGCCATCTAGTCCCAAACTAAGCAGAGCTTGTACTATGGTTATTAGACAACTTATATAAATACATATATACTTTTTCTTTAAATGTTTGAGGCCTTTAAAAAATAAATAAACAAGTCCTGAATTCCTGAACAACACATACATAAAAACATTGCAAGTTAAATAAAAGCTTGTGAAAATAGTGTATCTCTGTTCTCCACTAAGTTTCTTTCCGCTGTCGCTGTCTGTGTCGCTGTGTCATATAAGTCACACCACCAATTTTGTTGTGATATCTCTTTTCAGATTACTCAATAAACTACCGAATTCGTATGCATTCACCAAGGCCCTTGGTGAAGCTTTAGTGGTGGAAGCCATGGAGCACATACCTGCCATGGTACTGCGTCCTTCTATTGGTAAGCTTGACAGATATCACACACAACCTTCTTATCCCTAAGTGGGCAGATCCTGTTCCATTGAACCTTTTTACCTGACTGGTAAAAAATATTAATGAATTTAAAATTTATTCCAGTGATCCCAATCTGGCAGGATCCTGTACCAGGATGGACCGACAATATAAACGGACCCACAGGTTTACTTATTGGTAACTATTTATTTTTATATATATCAGATCATAGTGTCCAATATATCGTACATCTTTCAGTAACATGATAATAATATCGTTTATTTTCCCACCAAAACCAAAATGATAATAATAAAAATAAATTATAATGATAAAAATAAGGATCGGTAAAAGAAAAAAACGTCGAGAATATTGCCCGAACAGGGCGTTTGCCAGGAAAACATCCTCACGGCCTCACGGAAAACTGGTGCTAAGCAATTCTTTTTGCTGCTTTTGACCAAGTGACAGGTTATGGGAGCCTAAACTAGATGAAATAGATGAAAGTACACACACACACACACACACACACACACACACACACACACACACACACACACACACACACACACACACACACACACACACACACACACACACACACACACACACACACACACACACACAACGAACACGTACAATAATGCATAGTAATAAAATATTACTTATATGAATCGAATTGTCCAAAGTCTGGAGAGACTGGTAATTGTTGCAAATGAAAGAAGTGCAGGCTCTTCTGTTAGTTTAACTGATTTCTTTACTGATTATACTTTTTTTAAGTGAACCTTTTATTAAATGTTTTGGGTCATCTATCGCATGTCGCATTACAGCAAGGCCAATATGGCAGCGGTCGCATCAGCTGACCGTATAGCATTAATATTGTCACTCATCCATATCTTGTCTACTTATGATTTTCCATTATCATTCCCATTTTTAAATAATTTAGTTAAGATTAAAAACGCGTTTTTAATACCCTTAATCGAATAATCCGAAAAATGATGCACTTGCATCGTGGCTTCATAAAAGCACACAACATTTTTTTTATTTAGCCTTTCACCAGTTTTCTGTGAAACTGTGGTATCACTATGTAGCTCTGGTCTGTAGAAATATGACTCTCCCAGTCTAAGTAAAGTCCCACCCACCTCCACGACCTCCAGCTTAGCAGTCAGGGCCACTAACCACTAAAACAACAGGCCCGTCAAACTTAAATTGTCATTTTATAGACATTTCCACTACGACACGTCAACATACGTACTGGACTATTATAGTTTTATGCTTAGATCAAATAAAAAAAGTCAAGCTAAAACTTTACGAAGAACAAAGTAAGGCCGACATCATAATTTTATTTTATTGAAAATATTGGTTTCTACCCGTATTTATGTGTGAAATGCGATTACATCCTACTGTCTATCTCTTGTATGTATGATATGCTACCATGAACTATTTTTTTTAAAGAAATAATTCAAAGAATTTCCTTCGCGTATTAATATACGTGTATGTACGCGAATATATTTTGGTAGATTACACTATTGCCGTATCTATTTCCAGAGGCGTTAAATATTAATACAACTACACAGCTTGTAGCTCACTCGTACTAAGTTTGTTACCTGTAAAATAAGTGGGACTGAAATTACAGTCGCCATAACACCTCTGTCCACCCCTTCAGATATGGAGATATTATTTTTAAAAGACAACTGCCGCACTATGCATATATTCTGTGTAGCGAAGGACTTTACAAACATACATGAAACGGACACAAAGAACACGTAAGACTCAGAACGACAATTTGTAGATCACACAAAGTGTCATCCCATGTGGGATGACACTACCAACCAACAACACTCAATGTAGTAGGAAGCGACGTGGCGACTGCTTAAACCATTACTCCATCATGTTTATCATGTTTTTTTTTTCAATTATTAACCATCTACTTCAGCTCAGTTTGTTAAGTTAACTACAATTTTAGTAATTGCAATTATAAAACAATTTATCGACTACACAAAAACAGGAAAAAACATAAAATAAAGGAATATCTATCTAAAAAAATTCTATTCGGCAAAATTTCAGCTTTTTTTATAAAAAATCTTAAAAGTCCAATATCTTTAAAATGGTTATTTTTGGGATATGGTATTTCATAGTGAAATCTATCAGAAATAATGGCAACTACAACCCTTTAAAGCATTTAGGTCGACTTACCCAGTAACGCTGCATATTCCTAATGTGAGAGTTGTCTTACAAAAAAAAACCGCTGGATTGATCCTTTGGTAACCCAACACACTCATACACTTGCTTTACTCGTGGCCCTGAAATGCGGAATCACCTTGGCTATTAACTTACTAGTTAACTTCTTTGTGTTCATTACAGGTGCAGGAAAAGGAGTTCTCAGAACCATGTACTGCAAGAGCAACAGCTATGCTGACTACCTTCCCGTAGACGTCTTCATCAGCGGCATTATGATGGTCACCTGGAACTACCTGGCTAATGGGTAATAGTCATTTTCATTCATACCCTTATTTCTATCGTAATTAAAGCCCTATTTACCACGAGTAGATCTTGCTTTTCAAATATGCTCAATCGTTACGCCTTGTTTATAGTAATCCCAATTTTTTATGGTAAAGGGGACATGTTTTTAGGGACCAATACAGTGACTCGTCCATTCACAAATAAAGTTATTTGGACTCATCCTTCAAACACTGTCTCCTGGAGTAAAATGAGGCCACACGTTCCTGTAGAACTATTGAAAGGTCAAATATATTTCTCGTAGATTAGGATTGTCGAGCCTGGTTAGAATCTTCGAAAACTTGAATTGTTGATGAATTGACATGAGTCTGCAGCTCCTTCTTTCATCTTGTGACCATGTTCGTTCATCATCATCAACAGCCATTACCAGTCCACTGTTGGACATGGGCCTCTCCTTAGAAAGGAGGGTTTGGCCTACTATACCGCGCTGGCCGCACCGGTTGGTATAGGGCTTGTTTCAAGTTTTCCTTCTCTTTGCGGTGCTGTTGTCCTGCGTAGTTTGTTCCCTTAGTCACCTCTTACGACACCCACGGGAAGAATAGGGGTGATGACATTCCGTATTCTTAATTCGTCACCGATGTCCATTAGTTGCCGAGATATCGGCAAGGTCAGATATCACGGGGCCACTATAAAGGTTATAAACCTAGTATGAGAGAGCCATGTTGCCGTGGCAGAGCCTGAGATTGCGAGAGATTAAATATAAAAAAATCTTCAGTCGACCCTCTGCATATCTGTAAAATTAGGTGTAATGCCAAAATCTTACATGCTTACAGAGATACGTCTTCAAATATAATAAACTTCACATCGTCAGCTGAGATCAAGGTCACGTGGTCTGAGATGATAGAAGCCGGCAGACAGATTATCATGAACAAAGTACCTCTCAACGGAGTTGCATGGTCAGTATGAATCATGATCCAGCAACACCGCTTTGTCACTTGTTTTTTATAACTACATCTGCAAAACTGTAAATTCCATAAGCCACTAAAATTATTTATAATTTTTATCATCATCAAATTCCAGCCGATCTCCGACTATATTTGGAAATTTTGATTGGCCTGTTGATCTAGTGGTTAATGATCTTGACTGTTAAGCCACAGGTCGTGGGTTTGATTCCCACCCAGGACAAATAATTGTGATGAGCACGAACATTTTGTCTGTGTCTTGGTGTAATTTACCTGTATAATATATTTAGAAATATTCATGCCTTCTGAATTTCGTTGTAATTTATTTTTATTAGCCGTCTGGTTGCCATAGTACAAGATTTGTCTAGTTTGGGAACATACAGTCATTGTTACATATTATATAATTTACATCAACTACAAAAAACCATTTTTTTAGAGATGATTGATTTCTGTACCTATGTTATTTAGTCTTGTAATAAAGTAAAATATAATAATTTCCATAAAATACTTTGACAGAATTCATATCAAACAATTCCTGTTCCATGTGATAGCTATGACTATGGCTATGAAACATCACGGTTTTTAGTAACTTCCGCAAAATGACCAATAAGCAAGGGATGATTAATAACCCATTCCTTTTATTTGAAGGTACCCTGGTGGTTCTATGAAACACTCCAGACTTCAGCACAATATCTGCATGTTTTTGTTCCACTGGATTCCAGCGTTCATTGTCGACACTCTACTCTTCTGTCTTGGTTATAAGCCTGTGTAAGTATCAATCTGGGATTAATTCTCTTATAAGACTTCTTCTTGACTGCACGAAAGGCGTAGCGATTTAAGCGGTCACCTCGCCATCTTACTGCGATGAGTATTGTGGGCTCGATCCACACATGGGACTACAAATGGTTACTCTTTTAAGATGAAAGTAAAGAAGCTTTTACTGAGTGATTTGGCAGAGTCAACGAGCTCTAAGTTCATCACATATATGTATGTGTGTGTGTATATGTATGCATGTATTACTGTGTATTCAAAGGTCAAAAAGTTGGTATTTATTAAAAATCTATTTTTATTACCTCCCCATTAGTGCACCTCATCCTTACTCTGCATTGCCCAATCGGTCGACTGGCAGAGAATGCCTGAGGCATTAAGTAAGCCGATGCATATATTTGTGCACAAAGTTATGAAATAAATAAATTTTTGCCCCTAAAAATCCATCCAAATCCAATCAAAGCAAAGCAAAGTGATCAGAAGGCCAATTCTCTTAATCAAAGTTCGGTAACAAATCAATTCCGATCAACATTAAATCTCACAACTGTCATAATGTCATAAAAGGTATTTTCGTAGTAGAATAGTAAAGTATTACTAAGACTACCAGATTACCGATTCAATGAATATGACGAAATTACTTTTTATCACAGTTGTGAGATCGAAAGTTGATCGGAACTGAATTATTGACGATACTGATATGTTGTTATAATATTCAGTTAGTAATCCAAGAAATGGAAGGGGCCCACTCCAATTCAAGAAGAAACAGAGTTTTTGAGAGACAGTTCAGTAATTACAAATTATGTATCTTCTTTACAGGCTTTGTCGGGTTCAGCGTCGTATCAACAAAGGTTTTGAAGTCTTCGAATATTATACCAACAACCAATGGGACTTTAAGTCTGATTTCGCTCAAACAGTCAGAACGAAGCTAAATGCCAAAGAGAGAAAGGAATATAAAGTAGATGCTGTGGGTGAGTGAGAAAACATATATTAAGGCTATAGACAGATTTTTTATTAGATAGACTAAAATGATATTTTTTTAATTAGTATGTACTTTAAATAATCTCCGCTAGGTGGAGCTGGAATGCATTAGTCACATTTTTTAAATTGTAGAATATATAAAATGAAAGTTGCTTCTAGAAAAAAGTAAGTCGATTAATAACTCTTTCTTCCCAGGACTGGACATCTCAAAATACTTTGAAGACTGTATCAGAGCAGCCCGAGTATTCATTTTAAAGGAGTATGATGATACTTTGCCAGCAGCTAGGCGCCATATGAGAGTGTAAGTATCACTATACTGCCTCGATGGTGCAGTGGTAGCGTAAGCGACTGTTGTGCTGAGGTCTCGGGTTCGATTCCCGGGTCGGACCAAATGTTTGTAATCTGCAAATATTTGTTTTGGAGTTTGGGTGTTTTCTATGTATAATATCACATCACATCATCACACCAACAGCCTTTAATAGTCCACTGCTGGACATAGGCCTCTCCTTAGAAAGGAGGTTTTTGGCCTACTATACCACGCTGGCCAGACAGGTTGGTATAGGGGTTTGTGTCAAGTTTTCCTTCTTTTTGCAGTGCTGGTGTCCTGCGTTGTTTTGCGCCCTTAGTCGGCTCTTGCAACACCCACGGGATGAATTGGGGTAGTGGCATTCCGTATTCTTAATCCGTCACTACACGGACAATTTATATATTATGTATATAAGTATTTACAAATAAAAGTATATAGTATTCTATCCGTCAATCCAAATTTCATGGTACAAGCTCTGCTTAGTTTGAAACTAGATGGCATTGTGTGTTAGATGCCCGAAACATTATTGTTATTATCATTAACTCTTATTTATTTCGTTACCATTTCGATTTTGTGTCTCTTTAGTTTCTTTTTTTCATAATTTCATTGTTAACACATATTATATCCTTTATTATGCGATACACTGTATGTTTTCCGATCCTGCATACTAAAAATGCTTAGCTGTAGAGGTTCTACCCTCATTGAAACTACAATAAATTGATCAGAATGATAGAAGAGTTTTTGTGCTTTGTTTCTTTTCCAGTATGTATTGGGTGGACGTGTTGACCCGCTGCTTGTTCTGGGGCCTACTACTCTACTGGCTGAGTGGCTTCGTCTCGTCACCATTAAGTTCTACTGGGATAGAAACCAGTGAATCTCCCACTGTTATTGCCATGGACGCTTGACAATTTACAAGAAACCTACTTACATAAACAGACTGTTCTTTTTTTATTCTTTCAATATCAAAATAGACTCTAAGAGGTAAAAGAAACAGCTTGGTCTAATTTTGAAAAAGTTTTAGTTATTTGTTTGCTTAAGTATTGGTTAAGGATGTGTCTTATTTTAGAAATGAATAATTCTTGTAAATATAAAAGACTTGTAAAATAATAGTTTTTAAGGGATTCTTACAGAAGTTTTATACATTCTTTTAGAGAAATCACACTCAGTAGGTAATATGGAAGTGTTTGTAAGCGCAGAGGTTACCATTGTAAATTGAATTTATGTATATGTGGAGAACAGGAAATCTATTTCGTTTAAATATGACCCGATTATAAGAGGGCCTATCACCAAGTTGTTATCTTTATTTTATTTCAATATCACGGAATGCTATTCCAACAAAGTAATCAAAGAAAACAATCAAGTAAATAAGAGGTTTTTAATTAAAAATGTATGTTCATTATAGAGCTGTATTTTTCATTTTTATGACGTAATTGAGTAGAATAAAATTTTCATATAATAATATCTAGATGATGTTTTATTTTGTTTTTAGAAAGTGATTGTATTATTTCCTGTTTGACGTGCATTATATCTAAGAAATATTTGAAATAAATATGTTTTGGTAAAATAATTACTTTTATTTTAAAGTTTGGTTAGTGATGAGACAAAAGTGTACTCTTGTCATTTTCAGCAAAACCAGTCGGAGAATTCCATGCTCTCACGGTAATATTAGGTTCTAAAGAAAGTGTTAACCTCACATGAGTCCTATCGGGAGTCATCAGCCTTTATCTCTAGAAGATCTTTTATGTCCTACGTTTAAAGGCTTACTTATGTCTATGCCTCGTGCTGTATTTACTATGACCGTAGGTAGAGAGGACGATTTTCTCTCTTCCTTTGTTTTAATTTCCTAAACCAATGAAGTGAGGATAAAATACTATATGAACATATTTTCTTATGCAATATACCGCCCGGAATCGTTTAATGTTGTACTTTTCTATGTTTCTAGTAAATCGTTTATGTTATGAGGTCAGCCTAGAAGTGATTTGACGTGACAGTAAATCACCGTAATAAAGTAATAAAACAAATACTTAAATTCACATTAGTTTATTGTGCTTATCAATATACCGATATCGTTGAAAATAAAATTTGTGTTTCTAAAAATTATTCTTATAGTTATATTTTTAGATTATACAGTCTGTACAAGAAATAAAATACACTAACATATCAATAGTAGACCCAGATCCACACTATATTTCAGAAATAGAATAATAATTACGTGTGTGCTATTCTACCGTAGACGTCCCGCTATGACCCTAAATAAATAATATCCTGTGGCCGCTTGAAATAGTTTGTGTATCCAGTACAATCTGTAAGAAAAATGATCAGTTAGAATTTTTAGATCTCAATAAAATGTGTATATTTTTACACTATGCCTATTATATCAATTTGTAATTGTTTGTCTCTGATCATTTTATTATACTCCCTTCTATTCTTTACCCATGAATTGAGATTGTCAATTTATTTTAAATTATGGGTAACGGTAGAAGTTTTTTCCGTAAATTGCAGACATAATATTTCATTGTAAATATTCACAAAATAACATTTGAAAAGCACAAGTCACCTTTTCAACTTCGTTCTGGCAAAAGGCAAAGATTCGGTGGTATCCTTTAAAATGTATCTTCTAATTCCTAACATATAAGCTCCAATGTATGTATCCCAATCAAAGTTTGCTGGCCAATGGGGGAACGAGCTAGAGTCTCTGGCAATACATGCGTCTGAATAGAGGGCGGTCAGCTCAGAAATGCCGAATTGCCATTCGTTGTTGGCGAAGTATTCACCAGTAGCCGCAGCCATTTTGAAGCGTCGTGCGAGTTTCATCATTCTGGTGGCAATTAGAAATAGTTCTATTATGAAATATGAATAGATAGGTTGGAGTCGATTTTTTACCTGATGGTGAACAATATTAAGATAATTTTTTTTTAACAATTTTTCCAGTTATTTTAGCTGAATGTCAAAGTATATTATTTTTATAAATTTATCATCATCATCAACGGCCTTTTCTAGTCCATTTGCGGTCATAGGCCTCTCCATAGAAATAAGGTTTTGGCCTAGTATTCTACGCTGGCAAGCCGGGTAGACCTTTTGTTTAAAATTTTCCTTCTCTTTGCAATGCTGTTGTCTTGCGTAGTTTGCTCCATTAGGCGCTCTTACGACACCCACGGATGACTTAGGGTGGTGAAATCATTGTCCGTGAAACTAATAATGATTAATTTGGCTGGCGGCGGATGGATGCAGATTGCCCAAGACCGGAATGGTTGACGCTCCTTGGGGAGACTTTCGTTCAGCAATAGGCTGATGATGATGAAATTAGTACAATAAATATATACTTACATCGCCTTCCTTCCCTGTGCCCTTAACAGTAAATCGTATAAGAAAGCAGGTAAGAAATGACAGGTAATCTCCCAGAAGGTGTTCAGGAAACGGGATTCGGTAACCGAGAAGTTGGGATACCACATCACATATCTGAAACAAATCATTTTAATTTATAATCCTTGAATCTATGTGTAAAAAAGGTGTATGCCTATTTTTTAATCTTTTTTAGTCACCCGCTTTGTTGAGGGAACTGTGTTTATTACATTTCTAACACCAATTTACTTCTGATTAATTCTGTTTCGGGTTCCAAGACAGTTAAATCTTTCCTGAGGCTTCTCGAGCATTATTACTCTGTGTGTTCATGGGTCGCAGCTGTGAATCTTGGTGTACGGGAGTCTGAGTAGTGGGCATGTGAGAAATACTGACCCAAAAAAAATATATGTGATGATGATGAGTTTAAATTGAAGCCTACAGCTACTACAGTCTTAGTCGCCTTTTCACCCATTCAAGACTCGTGGTAACCCTTATCCAAGACCCCTTTTTTATTTTGTTTTAAAAACACAAGACCATCTGGCATCTGATGGTCATTTACTATTATCCCAATAAAGGTTCTTCCACTGTTCTGACTGGAAAAGGTTTCATTCCCTAGACCGGCTATAACAGAAACCATCTGAAACCCTCCAAATAGAAATTGGCGAGAAGACCAAAAGTTTCTAAGCCGGAGGCCGTGATGAGTATAGTTTAAAATTGTAATAATCAATGAAATAGGTGTAATTACTGAAACCAGGTCGTGAGCGTTCCTGCGAGGCATATGCAGAGCCGTAATGATTACTAAATCAATCATGATTACCAAGTTTTTACAGTATTATTTGTTTTAATTTTAAACTTGTCTTTGTTGATGCGCTTGCACATTTTGATTTTATTGTCAATAATAGGTTGGGAAGAACCTAAAACTCGCTTTTACTTATCTACTACGTAATAACTCACATCTCGCACACGGCCGTCTGATCATAAACCTCGACTACGGTAACCTGAACACAGATTAACATGCTTACACAAAATGACGGCCTGTTCGTTCAGTGATTAGCGACCCTGACTGTTAAGCCAGAGGTCCTGGGTTTGATTCCCATCCAGAACAAATAATAGTGAGATGACCACGATATGTGTCTGGGTGTAACTGATCTATAATATGTATGTATTTAGAAGCATGCAGGCTGGTTGCCATAGTACCGGCTTTGCCTAGTTTGGGACCAGACTGCCATGTGTGAGATGTATGGAGTGATTATTATTATAACTTAAAATGTAGAATTCAGTGGTCAAGTAAGAAGAAGAGTAGTTCATTGTGATCATACTTGGTAGGGTTCTCTAAAGCCCATTTGACGCAGAGTTTGGTGAACTGTCCCCACTGGATGGGATTGATGGATCCTGAGGTCACATTGTAAACAGGACAGCGACCCGGCCTGGAAGGAAAGAAATTAATCAAATCTTAGTTTCAAATTGCAATCCACATATAAATTAACAGTGATAAATTATATAACAAACTGTAGTCTTTATTTCTTAATTTTTCATCCTCATAAGTGGAATATTTAAATAGGACCTTTAGTACTAGGAATTTAATTAAAAAATATTTATTGAAATTGGTTCACACAAATTAGCCCTTTATATACACAAAAACATTCAGTCGAATTGAGACCCAACAAAAAGGTGAAAGACATTTGTTTTATTTTTAGGTAGAGCCGAACAGTTTTTTTGAGAATCATTGTCACCCAATCTGGGATCTATAAAGGATTTTTAGAAATTGGAATTTATCCTCAAATATCAGAAGCCACAGCTTCTAAATGTATCCAGAACAAATGTAAATAATATAATATGTATGTATTACGAATATCAAAGTTAGTGTGTTTCTCCGTATTCTAAATTCCCATAGAACAACCTACTCCTACCCAATACAATATTCTCAGTTTGGGTCTCGTTGGCGCTGTGTGTTAAACTGTATGTTCTATGTTAAACTAGAAAATTTATGAAAAAAAAAATTGTTAGCAATTTCAACCTTAAAGGGGTAAAATAAGGGATGAACGGTTGTGTGGCAATTCGTCATTTTCAAAGTTAAAAACAAGAAATAAGAAATATTCACAAAAGCGAATATAATAAGATTGATATTGTTACGAAACTAATTTAAACCTATTCGATTCCTTTCTCAAGGGATTTAAAAACATTCTGACTCAGAAAAACTTTCAGCACAGTTCCATGTTCACAGGTACTTACTGTTTGATCCCCTGTCTCCACGCCGCCAGGATACAAGAGTTGACGACGATGTCCACCGGTACTAAATCCACGACGTATCTTTCCTTACAGTAGCCTGATCTGTAAGTTCCTCGAGATATCTCCATAATTATACCTGATAATGTCAAGAAAACATTTGATTAATTATAACCTCACACATGGCCGTCAGATCACGAACTAGGCAGAGGCTAGTACTATGGCAATAATAAACATACTTATTATCTCTATATACATAAATATTGTAGATAAACTACACCCAGACACAGAACAAGGGATCGTGCTCATCAGATAATTATTTTTCTGGGTGGGAATCGAACCCATAACCAGAGCTTAGGAGTCAGAATCACTAGTCACTTGACCAGGGATTAACAAACTGGTCGATATCAACCCCTTTGGGTCGGTTGGTAATCGGTTTTCCAGGGTTCGACATAAACGAAAACTAATTTTGGGGGTCGACGAGGTCAAAAAATCGACTCCAAGTAATTAACACAATTTCTTATATGAAACTTTCAAGATACTGTATTAGTTGTGTTACTTGTATCAACCTGTTTTAAGAATGACTAATATTTAGTAGGAATTACCATTTAAAAACTCCACAAGTCGATAAATGTGCTGTAATTTGGCTATGGGGGTCTGAGGCATCAGTTCATTTTAGAAAAGAGGTCTCTTGCCCGAAATAGTTTGGGAATCCCTTTTTTTTTACGTGTGGAAACCCCCTCGGGCCGTCACCCCACCGGGGTTTGCGGCGGGGTGGTGTGTCGGAATCGGACCGACTAAAACCACATGGTGTGCCACTCTGCGCCTGTAATAGGAGGGATCCGGGAACTGCTGTTATTAAGACATCCGGACCCCTCCTAGCAGCTTGGGAATCACTGCACCAGACTAACAGACCACTAGACTAAAGGTAGAAAGGTGTATTTTATGGTAGTCTAGGAGACGAATGATGACGCGAGCTAGATAAGTTTATTGGACTACGTACCTAGGTACCAATTCAGTTTATTGTATCAACATATTTTGTAAGGATTTTAATATCTGTTGCCTATCCCGTTGTGACGAGACGACGATATCCCGTTTTTACGAGTAACTTACCTGTAACTCCATAAATATTGTCGATCCATCCAGGGAAAGGTTCTGCTATGGCCGCCGTAACTGAAAGAAAACCAAATTATACATAAACACACTCATCTATACTAATATTAGACAGCTAAAGAGTGTTCGTTCGGTTGAATGGGCTAATCTCTGGAACTACTGGTTCGAATTGAAAAATTATTTTAGCGTTGCCCATTTGTCGAGGCAGCTATTGGTTATGTACCACCACGCTACGGCGAAAAGGAGTCGTGTGTTAATGAAAAATATTGCAATAACGGTGTTTTTTTTTCTTTTGAGAAACGCAGGCGAAGCTTTGCCTGGCGTCCGCTATTAAATGTTTAGTCGACGTTACAAAATCAACAAATTTCTTGTCATTCTCATTTCATCCTATACTTTTATGGCATTATGGTGACGGATTAAGAATATGGAATGTTACCACCCCTATTCATCCCGTGGGTGTCGTAAGAGTCGACTAAGGCAGCAAACTACGCAGGACAACGGCACTGTAAAGAGACGTAAAACTTGATACCAACCCATCTGGCCAGCGTGGTATAGTAGGCCAAACCCTCCTTTCTAAGGAGAGGCCTATGTCCAGCAGTCGACTAGTAAAGGCGGTTGATGATGATGATGATATGTATAGAAGATTCTGTATTTAAGTTGAAGGTGAATATAAATATCCAAATACGTTAGCGTTGGACGATCTGAATTGTACTTTATTGTGTCGGAGAAAGAGTCGCTATTTTAACTTACAACTCAATAGATCACGGGGCTCTCTGGTTTCATAACGGCTTAAGAGCAAATAAAGAACTTACTCTAGTGTTATTCACATTTTTTTATTGAATAGGAAACAAACAAGGAGATGGTACACCTGATGGCAAGTGACTACCGCCGCCCATGCAAACCTAAAACTTATCTTTTTAATTAACATAATTGAAGATTTCCTCCTCTCAAACACCATAAAAAAACCTTAACAATGTATAGAGCCATGAGACACCCATATTTGGGAATATTTTGGCCAGCTTGACCAGAGTGCATTTGCTTTTGAGTGCTGCTGCTTTTCACCGAGTGAGTGAAGTTACTGGCGCCCAAATCCCCACCTTTTTCCCCTAATTTAGGAACAACTCAAAAGACGGCAGCTTGCTCGTGATCCATGAGGTGGGCACCCGCCCAGTCACTTGATCGCGATAGTAACAATTCTCTGGCCGATTATCATATACACAACTTCCTAAAATCAAACGTTGGGCCGCGGCCCGCCAAGCATGATCACCTCGCCTAGTCGGGTGATCCTCCCTTGGTGTTAGAGGTACATGATACCCGTTTCTCCACAAACTTCTCAACACCAGTTTTATGTGAAGCCGTGGTATAACTCCTGTCGAGCCTGGACCATATATGCCGCAGCGTGACTCTCTCATGATTAAACTTGCAGGGTACATCTAGTTTCATTTTTTTTAAGGAATAGGGGCAAACGAGGTCACCTGATGGTAAGCGACTACCGCTGCCCATGAACGCCTGAAACTCAGGTGTCACAAGCGCGTTGCCAGCTTTTTAGGAAGGAGTACGCTCTTTTCTTGAAGGTTTGAAATAAATAAAAATGGTTTATAATAAACGGTATAATAAACGGTTTATAAAAGGCCCGTTTATTTCGATACAACCTTCAGGGGTTAGAATGGTAAGAGGGTTGATAAACATATGAATTGTTAATGGTAGTTCTGGCCTAATTGTCAGCGATTACAGTTTTCATTTTAAGTATTTTATCATATCGTCATCAGTCTGACTTTGAAGTATTATTTTCAGGGATATTGTAATATGGCTTTTGCTGGTATTTTCAAAACACTTTTTTTGGAGCTTACAGCTACAGTACAAGTGTATCAGTAATGTAGTTGATGAAATACCAATAAAAAGTTTCCACAGATACACAAGAAACATTCTACTTAAGTTACATTCTAAATAAATGATTAAAGATCATCATCTGCCTACCCTTTTCCCAATATTATTTGGGGTCGGCGCAGTATGTATGATTTTTCCATTCTATTCTGTCATGCGTCATCTCACTGTTTACTCCCTTCCTAGCCATATCCTCCCTCACGCAGTCCATCCACCTTTTCTTCGGTCTGCCTCTTCTCTTGTACCCTTCAACTCCCATACCTAAAATTTTCTTCGCCACATTTTCCTCATCCCTCCGCATGACATGTCCAAACCAAGATAACCTATTACTTCTTAACTTTTCATCCAGTGGCGCTACTTTCAGACTCCCTCGTATTCCTAACCTAGTCCATTTGAGTCACACCACACATCCATCTCAGCATTCGCATTTCGGCTACGTTCAGGCGTCTCTCATCCGTTCTCTTAATGGGCCAACTTTCAGAACCATACAGGACGGCAGGTCTGATAATAGTTTTATAAATTTGTCCCTTCAGTGTTAAGGGGAAACTGGGGTCACAAGTTGTTCCCGTTACCTGCCGCCACTTCATCCATCCCGTATTGATTCGATGCTGTACAGTTCGATCAATATCACCATCACATTGTAAGAGGTAAATGAATGATTAAAGATGTGGAAAAACAAAACAAATTTGGTGTGACTCGACGGAAGATAAGTTAAAAAGTTGTCACACAACCTTCTAACGGGTCTAAGTCTAATAATAACATTGACATAGTAACAAAAATGATTATATCTTTTTTAAAAGATAACTCCCGTACTAGGAATGTATCATGTGTACGCAGGGGGACTTTACAAACATACATGAAACGGGCACAAAGGACATCCAGATTCAGAACAACAATTTGTAGATCACGGAAAGTTCACATGTGGAGATCGAACACTAAGCGCAGTAGGAAGCGGTGAGATGACCGCTTAAACCACTACGCCATCCGTTCAGTCTGAGCCTCTTCCCTCATAACCTCAATTACTCGTAGAAAAGCAACGGCAAATGCTTGTGCTGGTTTTCAGTGACCGTGAAAGCACAATAAATAATAATACCTTTAGAATTTATCAATGTTACAACCGCCATTTATTTTTCAGTGTAACAGTAGTCGAACGTGGTATAAAATATGTGCCTTCGAAAGAAATCGATACGACAATTGAAATAATTACAGGTTAAGCGTCAAGGATGGAGGTGAATTAATGTAAAGTGGTCTTATAAACATTGTAGCAAGTGTGGATGCACCTTTATATTCTAGTTTAAACTGTGCCTCCTGTGAACACTTTAAAGGAAACCAAAAACTAGATTAAAGTGGGTTAGGTTTTTTTTTAATTATTATATTTCTTAGCGTTCCATGGATTCACCGGGTGTTGAGTCCATCGCGTTATCATCATCATTATTATCATCATCAACAGCCTTTAATAGTCCACTGCTGGACATAGGCCTCGCCTTAGAAAGGAGGTTTTGGCCTACTATACCACGCTGGCCAGACGGGTTGGTATAGAGTTTGTGTCAAGTTTTCCTTCTCTCTGTAGTGCTGTTGTTCTGCGTGGTTTTTTCCCTTAGTCAGCTCTTACGACACCTACGGGATGAATAGGGGTGGTGACATTCTGTATTCTTAATCCGTCACCACACGGACATTGCGTTATAGATGAGGGAAACACATGCGACTTCGACAGCGCCTGGGAATTGTGACCACAAGCGTGCGCATAAGCGCTCACCTCCAGTGTCTGCTGTTACCCCCTCTACCTAAACATATTTGATACGAGATATTCGTTCAAGAAAAGAGCTCACTGAAGCTCTTGGTAATCCAAGGTCTTTAAGAAGGTTATAGAGGGATTAAGCCCACTTCCAGGGCATAAAACGCAACGAAATACCCATTTTTACTTATTTCGTTTGTTAATTCAAAGTACTTGTTTCTTTTTAAAGCGTGGTCTCTAGGAATGTTCGTTTCCCACGGTACCTATAGTTAGAAAGTAATTCTTGAAAAGCCTTATTTATTTCTAATACATGCTAAAATTACGTGATAAATTATTCAAGTCCAGTTAAATTAGCTTACACCTATAAGTTGTGTTCGTGTAAATTGATACACATGAAGGCAATTGAGACATACCAATATCTAATAACTCATTAGAATATGTTCCTAAAGAAGAGTTGGTCAAACCAATAATAAAAACACTACCCCAAAGATGGGATTTTTTAATTTAGGTAATTGATATCCGTGGTGTCCGTGTGGTGACGGATTAAGAATACAGAGTGTCACCACCCCTATTCATCCCGTGGGTGTCGTAAGAGGCGACTAAGGGAGAAAACTACGCAGGACAACAACACTGCAGAGAGAAGGAAAACTTGAAACAAATCCTATACCAACCCGTCTGGCCAGCGTGGTATAGTAGGCCAAAACCTCCTTTCTAAGGGCAGGCCTATGTCCAGCAGTGGACTATTAAAGGCTGTTGATGATGATTGATGAATTGGTATCAGTTTTCTAAAATCTTAGTCTTTAATTTTCATTTAGAAACTAGCTGACCCCGCAAACGTTGTTTTGCCATATACAAATTATAATTTCTTTTGTCAAAAAAAAAATAGGGTTATAAAAATTAGATGTTGGCCGATTCTCAGACCTACCCGATAGGCAGACAAAATCTCACGAAAATCGGTAGAGCCGTTTCGGAGGAGTTTAACTTCTAACACCGTGACAGGAGAATTTTATATAAAAGATTTAGATTTCGATCTTTTCATAGTGGTGTTACTCTAATTATATCAATGTTCACAATAAATATACAAAACAATAAAATGTGAAAATTTATGTAATAGCACTTATAACACGTAGCACGAAAAATAGTGTGTGTTAGAACCACATTGTACACAATATTCGCGATATTTTGAAAATCCTGCCAGTTATGTCACTTTGCACACTTATAACTCTTGAGCTCAAGTGTCCATCAACGGGGGTAGTCGCTTTCCATCAGATCTGCTCGTTTTTCCCCCATACCATGAATAAAAACAGTCCCCTCTTTATATCTCTTCAAAGAGTTCAAACTAAATAAGACACAATTCTATTCCATTATCATAGAATAGAATGGAATGGAATGGAACGGAAAGAAACGGAACGGAATGGAATAGAATAGAATAGAATAGAAT